GATAAAACTTGGATGGATGAGGAGTTGTGTCTTCTGGACAAGAAAAGAAAGTGATTTCTTGAGATGAAATCTACTCTTGGTGAAGATGCTGTGAACATGAAAGGACAACAAAGAATTTAGAAGGTTACATAAACTTAGTTGACAAAGCCGTGGCAGGGTTTGAGAGGACTGACGTCAGTTTTGAAAGTTCTACTGTGGGTAAAATGCTGTCAAACAGCATCAAACATTACAGAAAAGTCTTTTGTGAAAAGAAGAATCAATTAATGCAGCAAACTTCATTGTCATACTTTAAGAGGTTGCCACAGAAACCCCAGCCTTCAGCAACCAGCAGCCATCAATATTGAGGCTAGCTCCTCCACCAGTAAAAAAAAAAAAAAGCACATCTTGCAGAAGCTCCAGATGATCATTAGCACTTTTTAGCATTAAAATATTTTTTGAATATATGTACATTTTTCAGTCATAATGGTATTATATACTTAGTAGATTACTAGATTACAATGTAATGTAAATGTTTTATACGCACTGGGAAACAAAGTTTGTGTAACTGGCTTTATTGTGCATATTTGCTTTATTGCAATGGTTTGGAACCAAAACTGTAATATCTCTAAGGTGTACCTTAATTAATATTACACTAACGTGAACTTTCCCACTTTGGCCTAATCCTGCGAAAGCAGCAAAAGGAAGGAACCAAGGAGTTGTAGGATTTTCTTGGGAAGCATTTTCAAATTGCACATCTATTCCATACGTTAGTGAAGAGACACTGATTTGGTAGGGGGAGGTTGGATCTGGGTAAGATGCTTTGACAAGCTCTCAGGTGATTCTGATTTTGGGAAGCACCACATTTGTTACTAACAATGTATAACACTTAAATTCACAGCTAGTACTGCTGTAGCTTCTTCATGGAAACAGTATCAGTCCTGTCTTTGTCCCCAATCCCAATTTCAAACTTCTCTAACTTTATAGAAGACAAGCCACACATTAGCCATCTCTCAAAGTATTATAGTAATACCACAGATGGCAGGTGAGAAAAGTGTTTAAACCTTTGAATACTTGGTATATACATTGCACTTTGTTAGGAAACCAGGAGGGATAAGCAAGAATACAGAGATTATTCTTTTAACTAGCTTTTAAGTGGAGTGTGAAAGTTGCCTTTCTCTTTCGTTACTAAAAGGATTCACAGGAAAACTACAGTAATTGCCTATTGCATCAGCTACCCGCAAAAGGATATATGGTACAGCCCCAAAACATGGCAAAGAATAAAAATGGACCCCAGAGAAGGGGTATGGATACAACACTAATTTATGATAATGTATCCATACTTCAGAGAGCAGTCTAATGATAAATATCCCAAATGGTTTTAGTGGTTTAAGAGACTACTCATGTGCTATATTTTGTGTATTGTTGAATTCTAAATATTACATATGGTATAAGACCCAGCTTTTTACTGACACCTGCTATGCTAAACAATCTCAAGAGATAAAAGTGTTTAGCGGCTCCTTTGTTCTGTTACAGAAAGAGCTAGGCTGGATGATATTGAGAAAGAGGAAATACATTGGTTATTTTTTGACTCATATTAAATGAAGGAGTCAAAGAGAGTCCTTAAAAAATACTTGAAGGAGAAAATGAGTCACCCTAAAAGAAGAATGGTCAAACATTGTTTGGAAATACTGGTGAATATTCAATGAAAAATGTTGTTTCCAATTTTAATGATATGGTTGGACATTGAATTTACAAAGGGAAAAACTACAAAGAATTAGAATTATTATTAGTCACCTTTTAAATTCTCATTGGGGGAGAATGAAGATTTATTTATTTTCAAGGTTTGTGGTTATCATTTGTCTTTTTATCTATTATATAACTTAGATTAAAAATTTATTTTGATATGAAAATGATTCACCACTAACAGTGCCAATAAGTTTCCTAAAGAGATATATTAGAAAGGTATTTGATCCTAGAATATCTACGAAACATTTTAACAGATATTTTAAGTAGTGTGTTTTCTTTATATCTGGTATACTGATGATCACCTATGTCTTCCACCTGCACTTTCTGAGACAAGTTTGTGACAAGTTTGAAAAAAGAAAGTAATATCTAATTAATGTTAAAAGCAATAGATCAGTTTAATACAGTTTTTGCTCCTTAAAATTTGAGCTGAAATCTGTGTTGTGTGTGATCTCTGTGCACTAATGCTGCGTTCCTCCTTGAAAGACTGGCAGTGCAGTTGCTTAGCAAATGGAAGGCTTCACTGTCTGGGGTTCACTTTCTGCAATGATATGCTAGCTTGATAAGGTGTCAGGGTCACTAGAGGTCCCATTCTTTACAGTTTCCTGGTATGATGATGCTTTTTCAAATTTCTTTGCTTTGAATTATGAGAATTTAAAATTTCTTTTAAAAATGTTTTGGAAAATTTTCCAGTAGTATTACTACTGTTTTGCTCCACAGTGACCGTCCTGGTAATTGATATAATTTCTCTCTTTCCATCTCCGAATAACAAAAAAGAAAAGATTAAGAAATAAATCACCTCAACTAAATGATCTTAGCCCATGTGAAAGTAAGAGAGAATCACTGAAATCAAATTCAATTTACCTGTCTTCAGGATACTTAAGATGAGAAAGAAGCCAAAGGGAGGTAATCTAAGAACTGTCTCGTTCCTATTCAATTAAAACTTTGAAAGAAGAGTACAAAGTTAAATTGCTTCTACATAACCCCTTCCATGAAAATTTTGAACTAATTTTCATTAAAAATTAGCCATTTCTAGTTCTCAATCTTAACATAACTTTTAATATCTGGATCCAATGCAATCAGTTATGTTATGACAATCTTGATAAAGAAGGGATGATATTTGTTATTGCATTTTTTAGTAGATTTTTAAATCTAGGACATTCTCCCCCCAGGGCCTTCCCATTTTTTTCTTATTATTTCTGAAAACATCATGGGTTAGAAGAGTCACTCTGAAAAATGTCACTAGCCCAGGATTATTTGTTGATCAGAGATATTTACTTGTGGACCCTGAAACTATGGACAGCAGCTTTTCATACTGAACTAAACGTGTGTGTTTTTGGAGTAAAGCACTCTGTGTAATCCTTTGAATTACAATTTTTTTAGATAACTGGTGTAATATTTTCAAAGCTAGTCCAAAGGACTGAAGCCCAGATTTTCAGAGACGCTTCGTCCAAAAAACTGCATTTTAAAAAAATTTACTGTTAGGTTTTGTTCTTTATTGCACTTTTTTTTATTTCTGAAGGTTCTAAAGCTAACCCTTTATTTAACTTTCAGTTAATTAACAGAATGATAAGAGAAAGGGCATTTTGACATTTTTTCTCGACTGTTTTCGATCCCTGCCTCATCCCACAACATTCTTACCTGACATTAGTCACACACACAGTGGACTCCAAACCACTTTTCTCCATTCCACTTTTCTCCATGTAAGCATAGATGTCCCCATGGGCAAAGGCCACCAGCCACCACATGATAGCGAAGAGCAGCCAGCTGCAGAGGAAGGACATGGTAAAGATGACCAGCGTGTGGCGCCATTTCAGGTCCACCAAGGTGGTGAAGATGTCCTGCAGGAAGCGTCCTTGCTCACGGATATTCTTGTGAGCCAGGTTGCAGGCCCCGCTCTTAGCGATGAAGCGGGCTTTCGGAAGGCGGTCTCGGATGCGCGGTTTGCGCAGGTTCTCCGCGGCGATGCGCGCCAGCACATACTCCTCCGGGATGATACTCTTTCTGGCCAACATCGTCCTGTCACCATAGCCAGCTTAGCCCCCTGCCTCTCACCTGCCTCCGTCCCTGGACACCCGTCCTCCTGCACGAGGGAAACATTAATTTAAAACTTTAAAACCCGCCCTATCCTCACCTCTTGGGTCCTTGTATTCAAGGACATGTCTGTACTTGCGCGAGGTAACATGCAAATCCAGAAATGTGATTTTTATTAAACCAAACATGAATGTAGCTTGTGCTTGAGTTCGGGCATCTCGGAAAAATTACTCGGTTTTAATAAAGAGAACTGTTTCCAATTTTTCTTATCATTCTGAGCACATACGGGCACAGCCTTAGTTAAACAAAACCAGGAGCCTTGAGGTAAACAGCAGGCTCGAAGCTAATTATCTGCAATTAACCGGGCCTGTAAATTAGTGCAAGGCTACAGCACGTGGCGTCGATCATGAATATTGAGATCAGTTGGGTGCACGATTTACTTATTAAAGTACTTAGATGATGTAGCAATATGAAAAGTAAAGAGGAAATTCTTCCTCCGTTATTTTTAGAAGCAAAGGCTGTGACTCCTTGCGCAGTGTAAATAACATGTGTAACCTGACAAAAATTTTAAGTAGTGTGCTATAGAATTTATAAATTGTAAGAATTATTTTAAATGCGAAGGAAGTATGAGTTGCATCTAAAAAAAGAGTTTAAAAGGTTCCTATGGAAATCATAATATTATAAATTGAAAACATTGTTATTATTTTACAACGAAGAAATCAAACATACAAGGTGCGGGAGGAAAAAAAAAAAAAGGGATAACAGCCCTGCGGGTTGCAGTAGGGAGTATGCCCCGAAAAGTCCATCCAACACTGCAAGCCTCTGCTGTGTTTTGCATTTTAAATCATTTGCCGGGACGCGGACTGGCTCTCCCTCCCCTCCCCCGGAGTAGCTTTGAAACTTACAGACTCCGGGCAGCTGGCTCGGCGGCTGGACCTCCTTGCACACGCCGGCGGGACGCGAGCAGGTCCCTCGCTCTCCCATCCTGGCGCGCGGGACCAGGGGCCGCCCAGGCCGGAGGGACAGATTAGGGGCTGCGTGTCCTAAGAAGAAGAGTTAAAATAATAAAAGGTGCAACTGAATCTAAACGCAGGGAGGGCTAGAGGAAGGGGGATGGGTGTAAATCTTCCCCTCCCCCTGCTCAGCTCAACTCCCTCGGCCACTTCTGTGGGCGGAGGAGGGACTGGGGGTGGGGGAGGCGGCGGGGGGGGGGCGATGCTCCGCAAATCAGCCTCCCAGTTAGGGCTTTGACGCACGCCAGACCTCGGAGGCCGCCGTCGTTGCGGAGTAGGGGGCGGGCGGGGAGGGGGCGAGCGTGAGTCCCCGGGAGGTAGGGAGCAGGCCAGAGGGAGGGGCGGCCCGGGAGAGGGCGGGACCTGCAGAGCCAGCTCCTTTCCAGTAGCCGCGACCCCCTGCCGCCAGCGTGACACACCAGCCTTTAAAAGGCTCTCTGCTCAGGAGAGAGAACTTTCCGAGTCCAAGTTCACTGACGTAAGGAGATTTTTAAATTTTAATCTTAATTTTATTTTGTAACTTGGGTAGATAACTGGGCTACTTCGGACTGAATACAAGCAGAGAGGTCAGAAAATACTCTTCCGAGGTTTTCAAGCTGTGGGCACACACATTATTCGCATTACATTTCCACCTGCTAGGAGAGATACAGGTGGAAGATGATCTGAAACTCACTATAGTAAACTGTTTCTTCACCAGCCAAAGCCAGTTCTCAGAGAATGAAGCACGCACACACACCTCAAAACAGCGACTTCCCCCAACCCCTTAAGGAAAAGAAAGAAAAAGAAGCCACTGCCAGTGGCTCCCAACGAAGAAATTTTACCCCAAACAGGGACGGCTGTTAACACATCAGCGCTGATAAGGTCAGGTCATTCGGTCTTCAGCAATTGGTTGCTTTCTGAAATGTTGCAGCTTCTTCCTCTGTCTAGATGGTCTGAATGATAAAACAGAGCATTTGCGCACAAGAAAGATTATACAATAAACATCTATAGCTTTTTGAAAAAGAGCCAGTGAAGACAAATGTGCTTTTCCCACAGGTCAAGCCTCCTGATTTTGGCACTTGCGTTAATGGAAACTTTAATTCTTGGAAGTTTCACGTATTTTCCAAGACTCAGGCCGAAAGTGTACGGGGCATAAACAATGTATTCATTTAATTATCCAAAGACCTAAAATTAGTCTTTAATGAAGGCAAATTAAGAACATTTTTTTCCCCTTGTGGTTAGATCTGCTTAACCCCTGTAAGCCTGGGATCCTAGTTTGTTAGTGGTAGGCCTCCTCTATACTGTCTTGGATTTTTGCAGTAATTTATGTCGTATAATAGATTTACAAGTGTATGAAAGATCAGTGTGTGTAGTCAATTCCCGTCATTGTTCTGTTTTACCTTTGACTTCGGTGTACGCATTATTATTCATTGTTTCAGCCTGGGGGAACATTCACTGAACACCTTTGTAACCTTTGCTTTTAGGTTTATGTATCAAGAGATATATAAATATATGTCATAGTTGTTGCTCTTCAGAGGCAGACAGTTGCAGTAAGAGACAAGACATTGATAATAAACTCTAATACAAGCAAGGATGTGATTAGAATAGGAAAGGAAATAAATGCCCTGGAAATTCAGATGAGAGGCATTTAAGAACAGGAGACTAAGGAAAAATCCATAGATTGTTTGGCGTCTGATCTTGGCTTTGAAAGTCTAGATATATTTGGGATAGACAGCCCACATCAGTATTGATGAAGCCAAGCTGGCTACACAGCAGGGCTGGACACGTGAGTCTCGTGCTCCCTTGGCGGGAGCTTGTTACCACCACTCTCAGTACTTAATGAGATTTTCATGGACTTGTCACTCCCACTCCCACAACTCCTGTACCACCTCCCTTAAACTGGGGACTCCTAGAGGGCAAGGCTGTGACTTGCTCATCTTTGTAGCAAGGCCCTAGCACCGTTTAAGTTACAAATGCACTAAAAAAATATTTTTTAGTCAAGGAATGAAAAATACAAAGGTTGAAAAAGCATATTGGGGCCTTAAAAATACATAGGCACCTTAAATACTGAATAAAAGAATTGGAGCAGTCCTCAGTAGGTAGTGATAAGCCATGAAAAGATTTTGATCGGAAAACTACACAGTAAGAACCTGTTTAAAGAGGATTGATACTGAAGCAGAGAATACAATGGCTTTAAGGGTTGCATTTCTTGAGTATAGTCCTTCTGGGCTCCAAAATTCTGTAACTGGCAGAATTAATTAGAGAAGGAATGTGTCTTGGGCTGATAGGTAATGTCAGGGGGCAATATACAAATACATACGAAAGGAATGTTATACAGAGTCAGTATTGGGAAAGGGAAAAGTCAGAGGTGACTATGATATTTATAGTAGTAACAGAAAAATAGTAAGAAATGATAGTAAGAAATGGAAGGAGAAGAGCTGAACTGCTGTGGAGAACTTATGAAAAGATTTGCAACAAATAAATCCATATCTGAATCCTCTGAAAATTCTGTTCTTTTGGCATAACACATATTTCAGACTCATTTTTTCCAGTGAGATATATTCTTCCAAATATGCAATTTTAAATCAAGTTTGACTTGCTTTGATAACAGAATGTCATATTTTTATTAGTAACTGAACTTGATTAATTCAAAATAAGGGCCCATAATAAAGATCAAAGTTTAAGGAATTAATAAGTAAATGTTTGATAATAGTAGGCCTAAAAACAAATAGTCAGTTTTTAAATGCTAAGGAATGTGTACTGTAAGACTATTACAGATATGTTTTTCTATTCCCTTCCTCACATTTTTTCCCTAAACAGTGCATACCTTTGTCCTTCAACTAGTTTTTCTGCACTGAGTGGAAGCTGCATGAGAGCATGCTATTTATTATCAACACATACCCAGGGTCTCAAATTGTTTCTAGCTCCCAAGAATAGGTACTAAATAAATACTTGGCAAATGAAGGGAAGTAGGAATAGTGTTCAAAACATGATATTTCTCTCTTGCATTTTCTCTCATCTCTCTACCCGTCAAGGTTTTGCAGCTATTTCTCAGAACCCACATAGGAAATGTGAAGTTTTGGAATTCACTTTAAGTCTATTTCTCTACCTGTCTGCAAAGATTTTCTTATTCTCACTTTTCTCTTTACCATTTTGCCGTATCTTTAAATCAAGCTTGTCCAACCTGTGGCCCACAAGATGCTTGCAGCCCAGGCGAGCTTTGAATGTGGCCCAACACAAATTGGTAAACTTAAAATTGTGAGATTTTTTGTGATTTTTAGCTTATCAGCTATCGTTAGTGTTATTGTACATTATGTGTGACCCAAGACAATTCTTCTAATGTGGCTGAGGGAAGCCAAAAGATTGCACACTCCTGCAAAATTATCTGTTTCTCCCTTCTTTAACAACTTCCTTAACTGCTTTAAGTCAGCAATACTTACACTTGTTTGGCATTTGCTAACTAAGTTTCTCTTTACAACTTGATTTTAAGCTTACTGGATGTATACCTCTATCCCCCCAATATCTTTCTGGACACATAGTAGCTGCTCAATAAGTACTTATTATTTACTGACCTGTAGTCCTCCCTCATATTATGGCCCAAATAATGAACATTTAAATTTGCCTATGGTGAGAAATTTGCAAAAAAAATGTATCAATTTTTCAAGAGCACATTTACCACTTAGGGCTTATTTTATTCGTCTGCTTATTCAATCACTATTGTCCACTAAAAGTTATTTGTATTAAATGTTCAATAATTTTCTTAATTATTCTTTCAGGAGTGAAGACAAATTTGCACACCATCAGAGGAGATCGGTAAGTTCACAACACAGCTAATTTATTTACTATTATAATTTTCTTGAGTTTGCAGGAATCCTGTTAGAATGTACTCATGTTGCAGAAATTTATGCAATTGGGAAGCAATTCAAAGATACTGGTTCACTTGTACGTCAGCATCTGTGAGGCTCCTTTTAGACCCTATGAGCATTTTCTTTGGGTTTCTGACATTCTCATTCTCTTGAGAAACAAAGCTTGCCAAGTGCCTTCAGACAAGTAGAGAAAATATCAGGTTGATGCTTTTACTAGTTGTCTACTGCTTTGATTATGAAATAAATGCAAATCAGCGAAGTTTCTGAAACTACCCTTGAGAACATGGGTGAAATTCTTGCATTTGTTGACTTGGCCTTTGACGTGACTTGTAGACTTCAAACTCTTGGATTTCCTGAGCCATATTAGACTTAAAAATTTGGAGGGTCTTCAAAATGACAATGGAAACGAGTCATGTTAGCAGACCAAATAACAGTTGGTTTCTTTGCTTAGTATGCTGCTTTATTAGTGTCCTCATATAAACCACTTTGGAACATATTGCCTTGGAATCAGCTTAATAAAATTGTTACATAAACTAGTAATCAAAACAGCATGTTATAAACTTACTTTTTTGTAGTTATCATGGAATGGGAATGACCGTATAACTCTTCTTAGTTATTTGTTCCAGCGAATTCAGAGAACATTTCTTTTTGAGCTATGTGTCTATTTATGTGCAGAAAAGCATTACTCTGCTTTAAATAAGATCACCCCTTGTCGTCTTTGCAGGCTCAGCTCCTCAAACTCTAGGAAGCTCACAGGTGTGAATCAGTAGGGTAAGAAAAGAGGCAGTCATAGCAATAACTACCCTTTGATTTGCATCTAGGTGAGCAAAACGGAGTCCCTGCTCCAAGGCATTCTTGTGAGAAAGCTGTTAGCAAACAAGTAATACATTACATAATTATCAATAGTGGTAAAATATGTAAAGAAAATAGAGCAAGATAAAGATCAAAAGTAACTAGGACCAGGGATGACAGTTTTAAATAGAGTTCAAAAAAGACCTCTTTACAACAGTGACATTTGAATAAAGAATCAGCTGTGTAATCAACTGGGGAACGAGTACTATAGAGAGCCCAAGAGCAAGTGTAAAAGCTTTGAGGCACGAGATAGTTCGATGTGCCTGAAGAACAATAAGAAAATCCGTATACTTAGTAAGAGGAAAGGCAGAGGAGGAGGCAGGAAAAGTGGGAAGTGCCTTCATTTATCTCTCACTTTACCCAATGAATAAGGATTGAGAGTCTGCCAGGTACTAGGTTATGAAAATTATTGACCCTAATCCTTGAGAGGGCTGCATGAGAATTAGGTTGTTTTCCTCATTTGCACACAAGTTGATTAGAATTTAGCAAAATGACTTTCCAAAATCACTTACCTCATAGGTAGAAAGCTATGACAAACTCAGAACATCTGAGTCCAAATCCTATGTTTTTCTCACTAGACAATATCTTGAAGACACGATTGTCCAGCCATGACCCAGCTGCATGAGAAATGCCTGGTAATATGATTTCATGCCCCTCCAGACTTCTTTTGAGCAAGGATAGAATAAGATAGAGAATCTTTGTCCCAGAAATTAAAATGTCTTTAATGAAAAGGTATAAACACTTCTAATAAAATAAAGCACATTTAAAAGTTATCCTGGAGATTCTCTTGCCCAGCCAGGTGTTAGAACCTCGTGGAATTGTTTTTAAGGCAGGATGAGATAATATAAAATGCTTTAGGATAGTTCCTGACCTGTGATAAGTACTTAATCAATGTCAACTCTTATTACTATCTTAGGGCCAGTTTTGGTTTGGTGATGGTCCAAAAGGTCTCAGAGCAGGCTGTGGGGGTAGAAAAGAAAAGCTGTAGCCCACAGATTTCTTTTATCATTTTATAGACCTGGATATTTTTGAGATCTTACCAACCCTCAGAGTGCTATTGTAACTAAACAATGCTTGTATTACCATCTCCTTAACTCTTGAATTTAATTAAGACACTGGGGACTAAAAAGCCAATCAAGATACTGGTAATAAAATAAGGACTCAGAAATCAACACATCTGTTTTACTGTAATAGTGTCTCCAAAGGAAAAGTAGTTCCTTCCATCAAAGAAAGACTACCCATACTGATTATGTTCTACTGGTAGGCTACAAAATGCTAGTTGTAAATAAAGCTAGTAGGACCTCTCCCAAGAGAAGATGAGAAATAGTGGCTGTCACTGTTGAGTTTTTCAGAGCTTGAAATTATGCTTTCCGTTCTTGTGCCAAAGAAAGGCAAGTTCACATGAGCCTGGGATCTGTCCTGCCATAGGAACTCTTCACAGGATTTCTGAAACTCTTAGGGAAAAAGCAATTCCCAAGGATGGCCTGATCCATTGCTATGCTTTCACGTCATGAAGTTTTGCAAAATTAGTGACTCATGCGATGCTTGGAAAGAGAAACCTGACGTTTTCCAGAACTCTCTGTAGAGCAGCTCCTTATTGCCACCTTTCAAAACTGTCAGCTATAGGAGGATTATAGAGGTTGAAAGTTTTAAAGTGATGTTTAGACTTGTTCGGCCCAATGAAGACAGGATTTTCTTTTTCTGCTGTTAAATGATCTTTCCTTTTCTTTCTTTTTTCTTCTTCTTTTTTTTTTTTTTAAAGTAAAAATGTTCTGTGCCAGAAAAGCTTTCACCAGGTCACTTTTTCCAAACAGGTTCATACTGGAATTCTGAAATTACATCTTTGAGAGTCGTTTCTAATTTAAAATGTCAAATTATCTCATTTTTTGTTAGGATCGATGGGATAATAAAATGATCCCCTCTCTGTAAACCTACAGAAATTTATTATGCATTTGAAAGTCAATCTTTCTTTAAAAAATTGAGAAATTGTGGGAGATACATGAGATATAGTATAACCTTTTATTTAAGTTCACAAAGGTTTAGAGTCAGAAAGACGAGATCAAGTGCCAGTCCTGCCATTCACTTGGTTGATGGCTGTGAATAATGTACTTAATGCCTCTGAGGCTCAATATTCTCTTCTGCAAAATGGACTAACATCTACCTCTCAGAGTTGTATGGATTAAAATGAGTTGTGTATGTAAAGGATTTAGCATGCACAGTCCCAGGACACCCAAAACAATATTTTAAAAAATAATTATAACTTTGATATAGCATCCTTAATATTTAGGATATAGTTTATTATTTTTCTTAGCCTGAATTTGTTAGTATTGTTAGATTATTGGTAAATAAAAATGGTGATAACAGGCATGCTTTCTCATCTTAGTGATTTTAATAAAATGCTTCCAGAATACATATTTATATATTTATTACGTTAAGGTAGTATGCTTTTTTCTACCTGTTTTTAAAATCAGTGATAGATAAAGAATTATACAAAATGCCTGTTTAGCGTGTACCAAGTTTATCTACTCTTTCTTCTTTGACTAGTTAATATGGTGAATTAAGTCACTAGATTAAAAAAAAATTGAACTATTTTTACATTCTGAGATTAATCTCCAATTGGTCACAGTGAACTGTTACTTTAATATAATGCTGGATTATGTTGCTAAACAACTTGCTTAGGACTTTTGCATAAATATTTGTGAATGAGATTGGTCTGTATTAATTTTTTTCCGTGTTATCTGTCTGGTTTTGGATAAATGTTATGAATCTCTGTAAAACTAATTGATGTGTATTCTTTCTCCATTGGTTGGAATAGTTTATATAGAGTCGAGATCAGCTACTTCTTGCGAGCTTGAAATAATTTTGATATCATCGGAGTCTGAATTTCTTAGGAATAATTTTGGGCTCTTTGAACCCTCCTCATTCTTTCTCTTCTCTGAGATTCCTAGTTCAGACCTTCTCATTTTATCCTCCATATCTTCTGGTTGTTCTTCCATGGTTTTTATCTGCTTGTTCTGCACTGCATTCTAGATCTGTTTCCAGTGGAAATAATTCTCTCATCATCTAAACTTAATTACTGTTTGATATAGCCACTAGGGCTTAATAATAATTTTAGAGGTTTCTTCCTAGTTCTTTTTTTTTTTTGAACCACCCTTTAAAAACCTATGTATACAACTACATAACTACCACATGGATCAGATATAAAGATACAAAGCGTGTCTGTCACTCTAGAAGATTTCCTTCTGCCCTTTTTAGACTGTAGCTGCTCCCTAACAGAGCTGACTTTTTTTATTGCATTTAATCAGCAGTTTTTTTTGCTTGTTGTTGAGCTTTGTATACATGGAATCAGACAGTAGGTATTCTTTAGTACCTGCCTCTTTCATTCAACAGAGTGTCTGTGAGATTTGGCCAGGTTGTTTTATATTCCAGTAACAGTATTTCATTTTGTGAATATAACACCATTTATCCATTTTCCTGTTGAAAGGCATATGCGTTATCTATGTTTGTTTGACTATTAGGAATCTGACTATTATAAGTAGAGGTGCTATGGAACATTTCTGTACAAGATCTATTGTGGGCATAAGCATTCATTTCACTTGGATACATGCTCTAGCATGCAACTGTTGGGTCCTGGTATAGGTACATATTTAGCCTTAGTAGAAACTGCCAATATTCCATCCTGGTTGTGCCATGCACATTCCCTTCTGCAGTCGTGTGAGAGTTAAAACTTCACCGTGCTTAGTATTGTTTAGCATCTACCTTGTCATTTTAGCCATTTTGGGGGATAGTTTTAAAAATTTGCATTCCCAATGAGGAATGAGGTTGAACACGTTTTCACAGGCTTACTGGCAAACATACGTACTTTAAAACTTCTTAGAGATTGTTTTATAATGATTTCTAGTTATTGTGCTAATATTCCTATTGGTTGTGTCTCTGAATTCCACTCTTGGTGTTCATTTTCTCATGTGATTTTAATTTTGAATGTGAGTTAAATTTATTGGGTGTTTTTCTCCCTAGGGGATCTAGGTTGTACCCTAACAGACTGATTCTGCATTTTCCCTTCCCAGAACCTCAAGGATATCAGTATTCTAGAGC